TAATAGCTCTTTCTTGTGATGCCAGGGTATGAATCTGGGTCTTTGCATAGAAAGAAGGTACTCTGTCACTGAGCTGACCACCCAGAGTCATGTTATATCTCACCTGTTCTCCGTAATTCCTAAGTAATACACAGTTTCTCAGAATACCTCATCAAGTTCTTTCATACTCTAGGAAACAGGCTATCCAGCATTTAACTTATTTAAGAGCCTTAGGTATTTGCTGACTAACTCCTTATTAATCCTGAACCTTAGAATTCACATTTTTGTAAAGATGCATACATACTTTTTGGGGGGAGAACTTAGAGGTGAAACAGGAGTTGTGTGTTTCTTTGTCACCTGTTAACATTTAATCATCTTCACAGAACAGCAGGCCTGCCACTTCCTCCTTCTTCTACTGACCATACCTGAATAATTTTTTTTAATCACTTAGCATTCCTCAGTAGCCTCAACCCATTCCAAGCTTTAGCTTCCCTAGCACAAACCCTATAATTCAAGGCTACCTGCTTGTCTAGTGCTGGTATCTGTCTTTCCTACCACTTTTTATATGAATCCTTTTAAAAATTTCCAATCCAGTTTCAGATCAGAGCTTTTCGTACACCACAAAGTTTAAAAAAAAGAAATCAATTTTTCTCATTTATGATTACATCTTTAATAAGTCCTTCAAAAACTCTCACTCATCCTGCCTCCCCACCAATAGTCTGCCTAACAACAAATCCTACCTAGCATTTCTCTAAGCCAAGTAAAATCGGAGCTTATTGAAAAAGGTTTCCCAACATAATCACCTAGTTAGATGCACAGCCCTGATATTACTGTATGAATGTTATACTAATAAAATGCTCAGATACTCAAGCAAAATTTATAACTTTAGGTTAAATTCTACATTTGCATTCCACTAATTGTTTCTAACCTTGATGATCAAATCAAAGGTCTAAGCAGTTTAAGCATTCTTGATGAAATCCAGTGGGTTGTCTGCTAGCGAAATGGGTCCAGTTGGTAGGAAAAGCCCTCCCATGCCATCCTGATACACACCCCAATTTACTCTGGAGGACTGGATAACCTCCTGAGTAGATTTCTCAATGCAGGGATAAAGGGTTAAAATTCACTCACATTACCCTAAATGTCAATGGTAGACCTAAACAAAATAGTCTTTTTCAAGTATGACTCAAGCCCAGTTATCAGCCAGGTAAAAAACTGCCACCCAAAACAAACCGCATCAGCATAATGGAGTACAGAATATGTGACTTCACCCAATCATAGCACATTAACAACCCCTCCACTTTCTCCCCCACAGGAATTGGTGGAGATCCTTTTTCCTCCTTCTAGCGTGATGTGGTATCAAGCTTGCTTCAGGATAGAAATGGTGGGGGTGGAATGATCCATTACTTTCCCCCATCAAGTTCCCTGTATTGTGAAAGGGCAGGCTGCTCAGGGCACAGTACCAGAGGCTGCAACCATGGGGCACTCTCATTTGAGAATGGGGACAATGCGGAGACAAAAAAGGCTGCTGGGCAATGCAAAAAATCCCTGGTTGGTTCAGCTGTGGGAGAGTTCTCCCCACTTTTTTTTGTGTGTGTAGTCATACTCTGGAATTGAACAGGGTTTACTTGCATTTGAAGAACAAACAGTTCCATCAGGCTCCTCTTACAACCTATGTGGTCCTAGTATATATAATTGAATTTTGAGGCTGCAACAAGGAGAAGATAAATGCCCCATGTCTGTTCCCTTTCTGTTGCTATGCTCAAAGGATAAGAGTAACCTCTGGTATTTGCAATATGGGTTGGAGTTCAATGAGCTCCCTCATTAACCTCTGCATAGCCAAGCATGTAAGAAGTGGGAATGGACATTCTTTCCCATTTTCCCTCTAGGGCCAAAACCCTCATCTGCTGCTGCTTCTCAACTCAATGCACTGAATGTAAGCTGTTGCTGTCAGTTTCTAACATCTCCTGTTGCCTGTCTCTCCCTTTCTCCTTGATACTCTTCTCCTCCCTCAGCTAAGTCTTGGAACATAGTCCTGAAGGTTGTGTATCCTTTCCAGGTGGTGTCCTCTGTGGCCTCTCCTTCCTTGCCGTCTTTTTGTAGTGATCAAAAACAGTGGATTCAACTCACTCCTGCAGACTTGCATCAGCAGGTCATCACTCTGGCTGTGCCACAGCGGTTGTTCAAGTGGGGGCACTGTAATACCAGTAAGTGTGAGGGAAGAAGGCGGTCCTGGCCCATGACCCCTATAGGGATGAGTTCAGATTCCACCCATGTCTTGAACATCATGGGGACATTATGACCCAAACAGCCTTTGATAAACAGGCACTGATTGGGTAGCTAAATCCTTGGGGTAAGCACACACAGGAGGATATGGCAACTACCGCACTGCCAGAGCAGTAGCATCTATCTCTCCCCACCATGATTTGTGATAGGATGTACCCTGAAAATAGTCTGTCAATGTGGACTAGAAAATAAATGGTTGTGCACTGCCTTGTATTATAAGGATGCTTGTACTAGGGGAATTTACCATCTAGCACCAAAAAGCTTCTCCCAAAATACAGAATCGTGTATGATGGTGGACTGATGATTGTGTGCATGGCATCAGCTGGAAACACCTTCTGAAATCTTACACTTATGACTCAGAAGGAGCTTTTCAGGGGTTTCAGCAGGCTGCAGGAGGAAGGGGAGGGCTTCCTTACTTGAGCACGCTTGCACTTCTTCAGCTGAAGGGGCATTCTTATGGTTAAGTTTATAAAACTTCTGAATCACAAAACATTCCTGAAGTGATTTAAAGAATCAGAATCTGTTTACAGAATCAGACAAACCATATTTTCATTATTTTTGTACTACTGACATATAACAGAAACTTAAAAAGTTTTAAATTTTTGTTTCAGCAATATGGCATTCATAATTGCTTTCAATTGTCAGAAACATCTAATTTATTCAACTTAAATATACAAAAAACTATGCTATACCTCAACAGTTATGGAAAACGTTTTTAAAATTCATTTACTGCTTATAAAGAGCCAACATATTATTAAAATCAAATAGTGTACTCTCAACCAATCTTATTGTGTGTGTCTATAGATATATAGATATTTCTATATATAGATATCTCCTTAAATTTTAAAAGGGGGAAATGCAGTCACATTAATCATAACTTTTTGTTTCTCACAGAAATGCATACACATTTCCCTACATCAGCAAGACACTGTGTTTATGATTTGTCAAATTTACAAGATTTTAAACCTCTACCGCACAATGGAACATATGTCTGTCTGCCCACAACATGATTTTCTATGCCTAAAATAACTTTACCTAAACATCCCGTTCTTCCCGTTTGAGTCAAAACATATTGTGAACACTGTTCCACTCAGCACCGTGCCATAACTCCAATTACTAAACTTCTTTACAGTTCCCCACACTACTTCCTGTTTGTTGACCTTTCCTGCAGCCTTTACTACACTCCTTGCTGCTCCTCCCACAGATTTTCTTCCCCAAGCACCAAAATAAGTTCTGTTCACAAATTCCTCTTAAATAGAGTAGAATGTTTTCTATTGTTTTAAAAACAGTATGAATATGAAACCAGAGGAGCTACACAGTAACCAACTTAGATGTTTCCATCACATGCAATGCCTTCCCAATATGTTCTAATGAACACAATTCACTGAGTTGTGCAAAACCTTCCAAAGTTTTGGAGGAACTATAAAATCTCTCTCTTTGGAATTAGGATTATTATACCAGTGGAACTTTTAAGACAAACAGTGAAAGAGTCTATATCTTTTTTTACACACTGCCCCATAGACCATCCTTAATGTAACAGAACAACTCTCCCAGGTTTTGTCTCCACTTCTTTAAATGTTAGTTCCCTTCAGTGCACTCTTTTGTTACTGTAGCCTTTCTCAAATTACCAGTACACAAACTAAAACGTGTCCTACCCATGAGACAAATAAAATACATGTTCTATTGCAAACACCCAATCCCGAAGCTTACCCTAAAACACTCTAGCTTCTTAAGTTGGTTACTGCCATTTTGGGCCCAAATACTCGCCAAAATAGGTTGAGTGCACTAGGCCAGCTCCTGTTGGCAAGACTCCATCAAAACAACAAAGGAAAAGAACTGTCCACTAGTCCATCCACTGCACCCCCGAAAACCTTTCCAGTCTCCAATCGCATGTTCGACTCCCAGACAGAAGGCCTTCAAAGACACCCTTCTAATAAATGGTGCACACACCCACACGGACCCCTCCCTTTTCGGCACACACACCCTAACACTCGGTGTGAAAGGGCAGGGGCACGGAGAAGAATTTAACCGTCCTACCCAAGGAAGGCAACGTTCCTCTTAAGCAGCCCCCTTCGCCCTTCTTCTTCCCCAACACCGCGCCCCACCCACTTCCAAAATTATCTCCCCTGATCTTCCTTCGCCAGTACATTCGCCCCGTCAAACCCTTAGAGCGCCCCGCGGTTTGCAAGACGACACGAGCGCATCCCTCGCACACAAAACAAAGCAAAGCAAAGCAGCAGCGGCAGCAGCTAAGAAAGGATCACCATTTTTAAAGAGCAGCAGCGGCAGCAGCCCAAACCCACCCGTTCAAACGTTCCCACAAGCACCATGTTGGCTCCTTCCACCACACCCACAACCGACGATCTCTTTTCTTCTCTCCCCCTCCCCGCCCCGTTTTTTCTGGTTTTTTTTTGCGGAGGGCGGGGGTATGGCTTCCTTGCCTCCAGCAACCTGGTCCTGCACAGGCCTAGTTCTTTACAACACAAAGGGAGGGCTAGGGTGGGGGGAGGCGGGGACGTGCGCCCAGCCGCCCGCCAGGCCCGGAGCAGCTGCGCGGCGCTCGCCCGCTCGCCCTGCCGGGAACGAAACAATAGAACGCGGGGAGCTGGGAAAGGGAGGACGGGGAGACGCGGTGGGGGAGGAGGCGGGAGGGCGGGGGGGAGGATTACCCCCTCGCTCCTCCCTCGCGCGCTGCCCCTCCGTCCATCCCCCCCCCGCCCCGCGCGGGTGATACTCACGGGCTGGGCTGGCGGCGCTGCTCCCTGTAACGGACGCGGAAAGCGGGGAGCTGCTGCTGCTCCTCTTCCTCGTCCTCCTCTTCCTCCTGGAACACGCTTGCCAGTAATTACCCAACTGTCCCCTCTCTGCCACCCTCGCCTTCCTGCCACCGCCTCCGCCTCCTCCTCCTCCTCCACCCCTCCCCCTCTTTCTCTTCCACCACCACCGCCGCCGCCGTGAGGAAGGACTCACAACAACATGGCGAAAGAAAGAGAAAGAGAGAGGGACGGACATACACGACGACGACAACGGCGGTGGCGGTGGTGGCGGCGGCGGCGGCAGCAACGGCGGCGGCAGCCCACTACCACGCATGCGCGCCGCCGACCCATCGGGAAAAGGGGCAGGCCGGTCGACCTGACAGCAGTGTGTATGCGGACGCGTGCGTCCCGTGCACTCCCTCCCCTCCCCGACGTGCGGCGCGAGCGCCAGCTTCTCCTGTGCGTACGGGCAGAGGCAGCAGAAAAAAAAAAAGGGAGGGGGAGGCAAAACACAGACACAAAAACACCTTCCGCAACAAAGCCGATACCCATAAGCCAAAGAGGCTTGTGTCTTCATGGTTCGCCGGGTAGACTACTTCCGGTTCTTGGTTGCGGTCGGCCGAGTTCTCTTATGTAAGGGGCGAAGGCGGGCTCAGTCGTTGGGAATTTGTGTGGAAACTCGAAATAAAGCATATTTGAGTCTGGAGGACCCCTTTTACTGCGAAATGTTGGATTAATCGTGCTTTCTATCCCAGGAGCAAGCAATACGTGGCAGGACCAGGGAAAGGGTCTGGTTGGCATCTTTATTAATATCACTTTGACCCCAGCAGAAGCTTCTCCCTTTGCGCACAGCCTAATCTGAATCTTGGATTTGGCCACAAATGATCTGTCAGAAACCTCAAGCCGCAATATTTAACCTTGGCAGTGTAAATAAATTGTGCTTTTCTTTTAACACAGAACCTGAAATCTGCTTAGAGAAACGTTTGTGATGTTTCCAGGTTAGACTTCAGTGGAGGATGTACAGCATCCTATTGAAACGTTCCAGAATGGAAGACACAAATTTCACCATGGTGAAGCCCTAATATGAACCATTCAGTGCAAGCAAACTACACAAACAAAGGCACTTGCTGAATGTTCACAGAAGGGGCCTTCACACATACACCATTGTTCCTTGTTACATAACCACTAACCAGTGGGTCCCTGTTACATAACAGGGGTTCACTGTCACATGATTACGTTGATAGCCCATGTGTTCTTATGTCTATACAAGCCCCACCCTTTGCCCATGACCACATCCAGGGAGGAAAACGTGCTCTGTGCGTTTAAGCTGCTTTCATGACATAGGATCCTGATTTTTACTTTGTGCCTATGGGCAGTATGATCATATTCCTCTCTCTGCCCATGAAGTATGGCTGCCACATTCTTGAGTTAATTATATTTTATTTATTTATATCCTGTCATTTTTCTGAAAGGAACCCAAGGTGACTTATATAGTTCTTTTGCTTCTCCATTTTATCGCTACAACAGCCCTATAAGCTAGCCCAGGCTAAGAATGAGTAACTGGCCCAATGTGACCCAGTGAGCGTCATGGCTGAGTGGGGACTAAAACCTGTATCTCCCAAGTTTCAATCCAACACTCTAACCACTATACAACAATGAGTCTTAGTGAACAATTTGCCATCACTTTTCAATTAATTCCTACTTTTTTGCTGAAGTACAGCATAGAGCCTACAATGTATACCACACAGCTGTGCAAAAGATCCTAGCTTTTCCAGATTCACTAGGTACATGTGTATACACATGACTTATTATTATTTATCACATTTCTCTACCACCCATAACTGAAACTCTCTGGACAGATATTCAAGTCACCCATCCAGATTTTGACCAGGCCAGACCCTGCTTAACTTCCAAGATTATGCAGGACCAGATACTTCTATCTACATATGTGAACAAGGACTTGGTAACCTTTGACACCTTTATTTGAAATAGTGCCCAAGTATAAACTGAAAATTGTGTACAGCTCTTCAACAGTGTCTTTAGTAAAGGCAGAGTCAGGTAGATCTATCCAGCTTCTCTGTCATTCCTTTGGTTTTTGTTTCCTGTGTATCTACATAAAAGTTTTAATACTTAGACCCTAAACTCTAATATTTTCCTCTTCAATCCATGTGAAGTTTGTCTTTTTTGTATATTTGTAGATACAGCTCAATGTTTCATATTTACTCATAAAGTAAATTCATTCAGTTTGATGGGGTTAACTCCCAAGTAACTCCCATCAGCTATTGCAGCTGCACCTGAAAAAATTAAGAAAGGATTTTGTTACACACAGGCTGCCAGTAATGCTTATAATATGCTATGGAAGCTTGTTTTGCTAGCCAAGTTTAAATAATTCATGGGAAATGGGCTGGTATCCAAGCATGTTGCTACAGCATCCTATTATGCTTTGATAGATTTTGTCCCTTGAAGACGGCATTGCTAGAACAGTTCTTGAATGTGTTGATAAAAGACTTGTACATTACTTATTTTAAGATATAGAATTATATCTTGATCATCCACAGGGTTATTCTAACAAAGAAGTTGGTGGGCAGGAAACAGGTGAAATCTGGACCTATGAAATCCACACCTAACAGGCGATAGATAGATATCCATCCAAAGGAGAAAACAACAATCAACATGTTTTCAGCATTGGTTAAATGCTTCCAGGAAACTTAGAAACAGGGCATGTAGACAAGATTGTTCTGCCTCCTTTCATCAGCAATGGATAGTCAGATGTACATTGCATCTGAATGCAGAGGCTCCATGTACCTATAATGGCTGACGGAATTTCTGTGGATGCAGTAGCTTAGACCAGGTAGGTGTAGCTGAGAGAAGGTGTAGTGATGGGGGATTTGTAGCACACACACCTTCTAGAAGCCATGGACACCACTGTTTCCAGCTCCAGCGAGAGTGATATAGGTCACAGTTAAGCTCATTGATGCCATCTGTGGCACTGATTTAATTTCATTAACTAATGAAATAGGGGGCGGGATTGTGTTTGGTCCAGGCTGTATGCTGCTGCCAATACAGGTACTTACAAAATGTTGTAGTCCAAATCCGATAGCTAATCCATACTGATCCAATTGCAAATTACTGTGGCTAGCAAGTGATACAAACTGTGTTGGATTTTTTGTTCCATCATCCAGACCCAATGGCCTCACACTGCTCCAATCCCATAAAAAGAACCCTCAAATATTAAAACTGTTTCTTTGTCAGATGGATAGTGCACTGCCTATAGGTAACTGTGGCCCTAGTTTAATGTCAGAAATGTTCTTCAAGGAGTAGTGCGGATTTGCAGAAAGAGCAAACTTCCTCTTATTTTACATCTTCTAGAGCTAGTTCCCCTTTCATTCTGTGGTACCTTTGATGTTCTTCTTTGTTCCAGTCTAAAGACAAGTCAGCTGCCCTTCCTTCACCAAGTAAAGCAAGGCTGCTATCTGGAACCACTGATAGGTTGTCTCATTTTGACTTCATATTATGGTTCCTTAGTTTCTTGTATCTTTGAAGAACTTTTCTTTATATGGATGTAAGTTCATATTTGTGATGTGCCTCTCTATAAGGTTTCATTTTATCTTGACACCCAAACATATCTTCCAGTTCACAATTAGTTCATTGAATAAGGCCCAGCTTAACAATTTCTATTTCAGTTAGGATGCTATCCTATGCATGTTTAGACAGAAAAAGTCCTAAAAGGTAAAGGTAAAGGTTTCCCCTTGACATTAAGTCCAGTCATGCCTGACTCTAGGGGGCGGTGCTCATTTCCGTTTCCTAGCCGAGGGAGCCAGCGTTTGTCCGCAGACAGTCTCCGTGGTCATGGGGCCGGCATGACTAAACACTGAAGTGCACGGAGCGCTGTTACCTGCCCACCGAAGTGGTACCTTTTTATCAACTTGCATTTGCATGCTTCGAACTGCAGGGCTGGCAGGAGCTGGGACAGAGCAACGGGAACTCACCCCGTTGTGTAGATTCGAACTGGTGACCTTTCAATCTGCCAGTCCAGCAGCACAGCGGTTTAAACCACTGAGCCACCTGCAGTCCCTGAAAAAGTCCTACAATATCTATAATGCTGGGGAATTCTGGGAGCTATAGGAATTTGTTCCTGTTTAAACATTCAAAAGATTGTGCCTTATATATTGTAAAGCAGGACTGGGCAGAAGATAGATCAGGATCTGTTCTACTGATAGATTCCTGGATGACTTCCTATAGATTTGCATCACTTCACTGAGCAGGGAACTGCCTTTCACATTGCTTGGTATATCATGACTTTTTCCTCTACTCTCATGTTCTTCTAATGCGGCTTTTGGGACCACCATTATGGCATATTCGGTCCTGAAGTCTCCAGGTGCTTGGCACATGCTTTTCTTTAGTGTGGCAACAGCCTTCTTGAGCCATTCCATTGCATTTGCTTTCATTAATGCGAATACATTTTGTCATGTCAGTGGTATGACTCTATCTCTTCTCCAGGTCCAGCAATGATGCTGGTAAGGCCAGTAGGTTTCTTGTTACCCATTTGAGATGCAAGAGCAGTTTAAAGCAGAAGTCTTGGGGATGATGGTTCAGACTCGGTTCAGTCATGGTTCAGTCATGCATTTTTCCTCATGAAGGCTACAGACTCTCCTGTCACTAAACGCCATCATCCTAGTTGCATCCTACATTCTGAGAAGGTTTCAGAACCAAGGAGGCCTGGGAAGAAGCAGGCTCAGATTCACCTACCTCTCCTCAGGCCTCATTCGTTGCTCTATTATTTCACTGTGAGTTGCCTTAAAGCATTTCTTCAACCGGTTTGCCAAAAGTTTTGACTTTCTAGAGGTTAATAGATTTCTCATTAAAATGTAACAGGAGCCGCCATGATACAATGCAGAGTTCTGCCGTTATCTAACCATCATATGTTCTGTCACTGGCAGCGAAGTGTTGAGTCAGCATTTCACAGGTCTCCTCCCGCATGTGCTGTTGTTGATTAAACTTCAGAAGAGCAGCCAGCGTGGTGACCATTATCGCCCAACAGCTTTATTCCACTTAGTCACATGTACTCTTGTTGTTTCCCTGTTCCAGAAGGGCCAGGGGAACACAAGACGGCAAACTAAGAATGTGCAAAGCAGAAGCAGCTGTCTGTGCTCACTGTTACTATATGTTTTTCCATGCAAG